AATTCATGCTTTACGATAATTGCTGTTTATTTTCTTCGTACTTATTGAATAACTGCAAAACACAATTTCCTGCGCCGACGATGGTGGTCGTATGACAGATGCTGGCAGAACATGGATTCATCGATGTCACGAGATAGTGGCGCCAAGAACTTATTCGAACTAATCTACACTAACAACCGCAAGGCAATCCTTATTCGGCCTTAGGCGAAGCCAATTTGCCAATTCATTCGGCTAAGTTCCTCAATTGTTGAGCTTACTTCCATTTCGAGTTAAAGTGTTGGGTGAAGAGATTCGAAAGTCGGTTCCACCAGAAGACGACGGCGGATTCCTCTTGACCAACTGCCGATTGACATTACAGGAACGCTGTTTCCGAGGCAATCTCCTTCGATTCCGGTGAAAAGATGCTAAGCTTTCGTCCCTCATATGAAGGTCATCATCAGAGCAAGGTATCATCGTCACAACCAAATTCAAGCTAACAAGTCAAGAAAAACCACCAGCAATTCCCTAAAAAACGGTATATATATTCTACATCTGGCCTCTTCGATCAGGTATCAAGTGATTTGGTTAGTTACGGTCATATGTCAACCTCGAAGCCTGTGAGTTTGCCTGTCTCTGTATGTGTATTTACCTGTTTGTGCTCTTGTACAGCCAATCGTCGTCTCCACCCGTAATGGACGTAAGCTCAACAATTATGAAACAAGAGATTCCTCGAAATCCAACTTTTCCTTGCATATACAAAGTTCCTCAAACAAACTGAAAGGTTATCCAAATTAAACCAAATGATTTTGGTAGCCTCTATCCCTGTTGGCCCCACAAGTTGTTTCAAATATGTATCATAGCATTTTAACTAACGCAAACTCCGCTGTTTGCTTGCATGCACTCTTTGATGGTCAACCTTCCATTGATCTTCTAAGTGTTTGCCATGACTCCCTTTCTATTGTGCCCAGGAGCTATTCAAGCTTGCACACAAATTATTCGCTTTCTCATCTAAATTTGATGTGTATTGCAATTCCTTCCATAGACAGACCCCACTGACGGGTACTCGGCATTAGCTTATTGTGACGTGCACAGCCCCTTGATTCCTCAAGAATCTCCTTTTCACATACACGTGGGGTATATAATTGCAACAGGGGCTAGTGAGGTGTGTAGATATGACAATTGGCCATCTAAACTTGGACTAAGGGACAAAGACAGCACAACTGTTGAGCATAAAATTTGACAATTGTCACTATGACAAGATGTGGCTAGTACCAATTTTTACATCAGCTTTTCCTGTTTATCTATGCTTTCTTTGTCATATTCCAACTTAGACATACAAAAGGAATAATAATTGCTCCTTCAATAAAAATGATTTTGCTTATATTGCACAGGTGCACTCCCAGTCTTTGGAGCAAAACATGGTAACACACAACTATGACAACACTTTTTCTGCTTATTTCCCCACCGTTCTTTCCTATCTTTTGGCGCAACTTCACTAATCAAATCGGCGCTACCGACAACTTCTCACAATTTACTTGTCTTGAAAAGACATTTATTAACAGATCTTAAACTTCTTAAGAGATTCATCGAAACCCGGTTTCTCTTCCTACCTTCTTCTTGCATAAACGAGTTTAATCTGACATATTACATATGTTTATCCTATTTGGCTTAGGGTGATGAAGGTGGATGCTGAACTGGTAGTTGAAGTTTCAAACTCTGGATGAGATTAGCTTTTGGGAAATCAAGGCTATGTGAAATTCAATGAAGGCGTAAGGTCTACTCATATGACTGTGTGAAAATGCAACTAGCATTATCAGCTTATACGAAATAAGGTGGTCTCTAAACCCAACTTGCGAACAAAAAATGAGTATGAATCAGTCATAGCAATTAGATGTCCCACAGCTTTAGGCAGATTAGGCTATAGTACTGGGCGACTCGAGCCAGAGGAAGCTGATGCACCTACACTATCTTCTTGTCGGTGGTTGATGTGGTCGTCATGCCGCGTATTCGGAAATCGAGCTTTCACTGCTTCGAGCTTTGAAAGTTGTGACGAGGTGAAAGTAGTTCCGACATCTGATATGAAGAGGGTTTACGAGAGATTTTAACTAAGGCCTAGACAAAGTGGTTTTTTGAGCTAATGTCCCTTTCGAGTGAAACTGTGTGCAGATGAGATTGAAATGTCGATCCGACT